TTTTGTACATTAATAAGGTACTTAAAGTCAGACTCCGGAGGAAAAAAAATTTGATATGTTGTAGAACCGATTTTTCTAAGACAGGAAAAAGTTGTTTGACGAAAAACTGGGGAACGGTGAACGAGCTACAGATTTTTGAATATTTAAAAACTGGGGGAAAAGGGGGCGTAACCGCCCACTTTTACACCTTTTCCCCCCAGTTTTTAAATATTCAAAAATCTGTATCTCATTCACCTTTGCTCAGTTTTTCGTCAAACAGCATTTTTCTGTCTTAGAAAAATCAGTTTTACAACATATCAATTTTTTTTTTCTTTAAGAGTCTGACTTTAAGATGATACCTGACCCACCATGTACCTCCACAGGATTTACCCTTTCAGCCATCATTAACTGCCAGATGACAACATATTGTCTTTGCCCCTGAGGGGGCATAGACACAATAAGAGATAACAGTGCTCGAATGATGTTATAAACCAAAAGACCATCAATTAGACCAACTAAAACTGAATATATTATTAGATCAATAGACATATAATATCGATTCAAGTGCTTTACTTGAAATCGAACTCATCTATTTTCATCAACAACATTGGTTGATTTTAAAAAAATATGAATTATACTGACACTGGTAGAAAATATGAATAAGACCAAAAGCAAATATGATGCTTAACAGGATTCAATAAATCGACCGAATTAAGAGGGCAGCCTTTAATTTAACAGATACCGTACATTAGTAGTTAAACCAGGGAACAGTGAAATTACATACACAATTGACAAGCGGTCACCGTTGTGTACAATAGTAGGTCAGGTAAAAAATGTCTTCGATACATAATGATGAAACTTAAATTAAACAAAATTGGCAATAATATCATATAGATCTTATAACGCTCTTTAAAATATAAAATTATAATTTATATAACATTTCATATATTTGTCTCAAAACATAACAGTATGACAAATTTTAAATGTATAGGTGGAGTTGGATATAATATAGATTTTTATATAACCGAGTACAGTATTACATTATTTGACTTAACAAAAAAATGGGAATGGTTTTGCAAAATCAATATATTTTTACACGTTCAGGGAGAAGGGAAGGGTATCGAAAAAGAGTACTGTTTGTAAACTTCAAAAATGTTGATAATTGTTAACGACCCCTAAGGAACAGACAATGTAAAACAAAGTCCAAAGAAACAATATAAGCCATTGTGATTCTATTCTGTACTATTCTTGATAATTTACTAGGGACGGTATACTAATAATGGTATAGTCGTCCATTATTTGTAGCGCATAGTCAATGTCTCCATGCGCTCCTTTACCCCCCCAATGTCAAGACAAAAAAAAAGAAAAAAAAAAAACCCAAGAAAATAGCAAAAAACAAGAACAAGAAATATTAGAAAAAATTGTGAAAAAAGATGATTATAATATGATAATTAGAACTTGGTTAGCTGAACTTAAAAAGCTCATGCAGTGTGTCCTAATTTGATATACTTTTGGGGAAAGGCTAAAGTTAGACACTATTACATTCGGGAATAGTGGAACAATAATTGTCAAAACGAAAAGAACGATGATATTAAAATATCTAAATCAAAACTAACAGTACCGAGCCTTATCTGAACTAAAAGTAATAATGTTTTTACTACTACGTCAGAGAGAAAGTTTTTATAATAATGTTTGCACTTAGGCCTAACTGTTTAATTATTATTTCTATTTATCAAAGCGAAACTTTTATTTAGAAGCTGAGCGTTACGCAATCTAAGTGGATGAGATTTTAATTAAACTATCCACTCTGTTAAAGAATAGGCATATAAGGTAACATTTTGCAATGAATATGTGGCGTATGTACACTGCAAAGTAATAACGCAAAGCAATAAATTTGCTGTTTTGAAAACAATGTCCTTTTTCTGAAAAATCGATTTCTGTGCGACATTGAAGAATCTAATTCTGACTTTGAACATACTTCGCAACTCCTTATTCTGAACCTGCAGCCCAATAATTGCGTCATACCAACCACATATATTAATCGACGTATGATATCTCGACTCAAGTGCCATTTTTTATTGCGTCTCACCTTTTCGACCAACAATATTGCATCCTTTCTGTTTAATTTTTATTGACAGAAAATATGAGTAAGACCAAACCCAATCAGGTATTATTTCACACGATCCAATAAATCGATCAAATTTGAGAGCAGTCTGTAAGATAACACCTACAATAAATGGGGAAAAAACGGCAGTCACGTTGATCTAGACAAATAGATACGATCTAGAGTGCATACAATCTATTCATAGTAGGTCAAACAATTTGTTATTTTGTGCGTGTTCCCAATAATGTTCGTCAACAGTCTCAGATGCAACCACCACAGTTAATCTGGACATGTAGCAGTCATTAGATAAATTCTAGCAACGAATGAAATATTGATTGTGATAATTCTAAGGAACAGGTTTTTACGGTAGGTATACATAAACATATAGATTGTTGCCGATGTATGTCGGGCAGTCTGCCGACATATTCTTCTCCACTCTCTTGGAGCTTCGAAACGGTGTCATCTGCTGATTTTTTTTATTGGTGGCAGCCTGAACGGATTATCCGTCTGGACGATCCTCACCCACGTGCACCGCGCGTCTTGTCGTCCCATTGTGTCTTGTCGTCACATTGATTTATCGTCAGAGTCGCTGTACAAGTAAAAAAAACAAATACCTACATTGTGGCAACCAATCTAAACTTAATTTAATCGGCCTATAAATGAAAGTCGGGCTAGCACTTCGTAGATGACCAGTGGCGTCGCCATCGTCAAAAAGATTGGAGGCTGGGGGTGGGGGAATGAAAGCGAGAGGTATGGCAACATTTTAGGTGGGAAATATGTTTTCCATAGCCGACCGGGGATACAATTTAAGATAAAAGATAAGGGGAAATCAACACATTGCTGGTATTGATCGTGATAAGCGTACCCATTCCCCGCCCCCGTAGCGCCGCCAATGTAGATAACCCCAAATTTACATGATTTCTAGATGTCACTAACAACTTTTCTTCCCGATATTAATAACTAAGGCTTGTAATTTCACACTTTTAATTTCCATAATCAAAACATTATGATCGCAAAATCATAAGTCTTCTAAATTAATTTCAGATCGGGGGCTGTTCAGTGACAGAATTAGTTTAATTATTGATTAACAGGTAAATTACTATCACAATCCAAAAATGAAAAGCAAATTATTGTATTTAAACAACTACAGAATATGTTTTACTTGCTGGTCTACCTACATATAAACAAAAGTCACTAGTACCCTTTTCCAAACGATGTAAAACGAGCTAAAGACTATGACCACATCACAGAAATTCTGTATGTATATATACACATATATATATATGTATATATATATATGTTTATAT